CCAGTCTCCATATGAGTAGCAAGGACTCAGTTACTTGAGCTGTCACCCGCTGCCTCCCAGGGAGGAACAGGAACCCGGAGTCGGACTCAAACCCTGGCACTCTGATATCGGGTGTGGGGGTTCTAAGTGGCAGCCCAACCACTGCGCCCAAGAGAAGCCCCACTCTCCAGGGGCTTTTTGAAGCCCCCCACCCCCACCCCCACCCCGGCTGCATCCCTACACTTGTTATTATCATGTTTACTTTTCTGCAGAACTGACGGCACAGAACGTTGCCTGTGCTTTTAATTTGCTAGTCCTTAATTACTCGTGTGGTTGCACATTTTATGTGTGTATTAGCCATTTGCTTTTGTTGCTGCTGTAAAACAGTGGCCGTTTTTTATAGCCTGGTCTTTGTCCTCTGCTCCTCATAGGTCATCTGTAACCCCCAGGGATGTCATACCTGATAGGAGTGTCTTTGCCTGGGGCCCCTGGGTCACACTGGATAGGTTAACAGTGCAATTAACAAACCATGTAATTTATGGTGGGGGCTTTGAGCCCACCCTTCTCATCCCATATCAGCCTGCCCTCCTGAGCCCAGGAAGACTCTGCGCTGGCTGTCGGGCTGGGAAGATCTGGCCAGCATCCTCACACAAGCACGCCGGGGGAGGGCCACGGCCCCGACTCAACTCAGTGGACTGCGGGCTCTACATCTGGTGCTTTCCTGCACTCCACCCTACGTGCGCTTTTCCCCTTGCTTCACTGTAAACTTTTTAAAGATTTTAAAGACCTCTTGGTCTTAATCCTTTCCTTACAATAAATTGTGAGTATAACAGCGTTTAGTGAGTTCTGGGAGGCCTTCCAGCAAATTCCAAACCTGAGTGTGGTTTGGGAACCCGGACTTGCAGTTGGTGTCAGGTGTCTCCTGCATGGCATCCCTCTAACTTTGCAAAGCTTTACCTCTGTGCCTGCTTATCCTGTTACACTGTTTGTCTTGTTTAAAAAAAAAAAGTCATTGGTAGTATTTTTTTTTTTTTTTTGACAGGCAGAGTGGACAGTGAGAGAGAGAGACAGAGAGAAAGGTCTTCCTTTTCCGTTGGTTCATCCCCCAATGGCCACTGTGGCTGGCGCACCACGCTGATCTGAAGCCAGGAGCCAGGTGCTTCTCCTGGTCTCCCATGCGGGTGCAGGGCCCAAGCACTTGGGCCATCCTCCACTGCCTTCCCAGGCCACAGCAGAGAGCTGGACTGGAAGAGGAGCAACCAGGACAGAATCCAGCGGCCCGACCAGGACTAGAACCTGGTGTGCCGGCGCCGCTAGGCGGAGGATTAGCCTATTGAGCCGCAGCACCGGCTGGTAGTATTTTTTAAAAAGTCATTCTTCTTTTCTTTTTTCCTAACATTTATTTGAAAGGCAGAGAAAGAAACACACACACACACACACACACACACACATACAGAACTCCCACTTGCTGGTTCACTCCTCAAATTCTGGCAACAGCTGGGGCTGGGCCAGGTTAAAGGCAGGAGCCCAGAACTTCATGTGGGTCTCCCATGTGGGCAGCAGACGCCCAACTACTTGAGCTATCACCTGCTGTCTGCAGGGTGCATGTTAGCAGAAAGCTGGAATGGAAAGTGGAACTGGGGGGCCAGCACTGTGACACAGTGGTTTAGGCCAGGGCCAGCATCCTATATAAGTACCAGTTCGAGTCCTGGCTGCTTGACCTCTAATCCAGCTCCCTGCCAATGTGTCTGGGAAAGCAGTGGAGGATAACCCAAGTCCTTGGGCCTCTGCACCCATGTGGAGACCTAGAGGAAGCTCCTGGCTCCTTTCAGCCCTGGCCTCTCTCAGCCCTGGCCATTGAGGCCATTTCAGGAGTGAACCAGTGGATGGAGAATCTCTCCATTTCTCTGGGATTTTGCCTTTCAAGTGATCTGGTGTTACAGGTGGCAGGTTAACCCACTGCACCACAATGGCAGCCCCTAGGTTCTTATATCTTTTGCTGTTTTTTTTTTTTTTTAAAGATTTATTTATTTATTTGAAAGGCAGAGTGGCAGAGAGGGAGAACAAAGATCTTCCATCCACTGGTTCACTCCCCAAATGGCCACAATGGCCCAGGGCTGGGCCCAGGAACTCCATCTGCGCCTGATGTGGGTGACAAAATGAAAGCACTTGCGCCATCACCTGCTGTCTTCATAGGTGCATTAGCAGGGAGCTGGATCAGAAGTAGAGCAGCCTGGACTGCAACCAGTGTTCTGCTGTCAGATGCTGCCATGGCAAGTGGTGAATTAACCCAATATCCCACAACAGCCCCCTTTTGTTTCGTTGTGGTTCAGGGCTGGCTAGAACTCTTAATGTAATGTTGAATACTAGGAATAATAATGGACATCCTTGTAGTATACTTTCCTTAAAAGGTAATACTTTTCCATTAAGTATGTTGTAGGTTTTTGGCTGAGAACTTTCATCAGCTAAAGGAAATTCCTTTTATTCCTAAATTGCATCAAGGCTGTAAAAAAAAAAAAAAAAAAAAAAATTGGCGCCACCACCTGCAGTGTCAGCATCCCACACAGGAGTCAGTTAGAGTCCTGGCTGCTTCACTTCCAATCCAGCTCTCTGCTATGGCCTAGGAAAGCAGAAGATGGTCCAAGTCCTTAGGCCCCTGCACCAGGTAGGAGACCTGGAAGATGATCCAGGATCCTGGCTTCACTGCGCCAGTTCCAGCCATTGCGGCCATTTGGGGAGTGAACCAGCGGATTTAAGACCTCTCTCTCTCTCTCTGCCTCTTTAACTCCACCTTTCAAATAAATAAATAAATCTTTAAAAAAAACTTAATTATAAACAGATGCTAAATTTCATTAAATTCTTTTTCTGTTTCTTTGAAATGACTATAAACATTTTTCATCTTTTCTGTTAATATGAATTATCTTCAATTTCACTATCAACAAAATTTGTATTTCTAGAATAAACCTCTTTGTGATAGATTAAATCTTTTTTTTTTTTTTTTGACAGGCAGAGTGGACAGTGAGAGAGAGAGACAGAGAGAAAGGTCTTCCTTTGCCGTTGGTTCACCCTCCAATGGCCGCCGCAGCCAGCGCGCTGCGGCCGGCGCACCGCGCTGATCCGATGGCAGGAGCCAGGAGCCAGGTGCTTTTCCTGGTCTCCCATGGGGTGCAGGGCCCAAGCACTTGGGCCATCCTCCACTGCACTCCCTGGCCACAGCAGAGAGCTGGCCTGGAAGAGGGGCAACCGGGACAGAATCCGGCGCCCCGACCGGGACTAGAACCCGGTGTGCCGGCGCCGCTAGGTGGAGGATTAGCCTAGTGAGCCGCGGCGCCGGCCAGATTAAATCTTTAATGCATTGATTGGTTTGCCAATGTTCTATTTAGAAATTTTCTGTTATTCATGGGGAAGTCCAACCTATGATTTTCTATTCTTGTATTATTTTAGCCTGACTTAAGTAACAAAAACTGTCTCATTATTCTACTTTCTTTTTAAGATGTATTTATTTATTTGAAAGATTTACAGAGAGAGAAAAAAAAAGAGAATGTTTTATCCACTGGTTCACTCCCCAAATGGCTGCAATGGTGGGGTTGGGCCAGGCTGAGGCCAGGAGCCTGAAACTCCATCCAGGTCTCTCACGTGGGTACAGGGGCCCAGGCACTTGGGCCATCCTCTGCTGTTTCCTAGGTGCATTGGCAGAGAGCTTGACTGGGAGCAGCTGGGACTCAAATGGCACCATATGGGATGCTGGCCAACCCACTGTGCCACAAATGCCAGCCCCAAGGGTCAATTTTTACAACTAATTTAGAGCAGCATTCACTATGTCAGATAACTTTTGAGAAAATGAACTTTGACAGGTCTTGCTTTGACTTTGTAAACTGGATGAAAAACAAGAAGTCTGTGAGGAGTGAATGTGTCTGCTTTTCTGCTTCTGTCCTCTGAGAACAGGAATATGAAACTGGCAGCCTGTAGCTGTTGTCAGCAGTCTTCTGAAGAGCCAGCACATGGGTAGCCACGGCTTCATGGCACGTGGCTTAAACTCAGACCTGAAAAGGAATGAACTTGAAAGAACTCTGATCTAAATGACGTGCATGTGCCTTCTGCAACTGCCCTGTGTGTGGAACACTCTCCAGACTGCTGAATTCTGAAGATGACCTTGTTTCTTCAACAAGCTTGCCTTCCCACTCCCATGCAGTCAGTGGTACCACGCCAGCCCCCACGGTAGATGGCCGTGTGAACAGACACTTCATGCAGGGCGCCAGCTCACCGTGCGGCGTCTGGAGAAACCCAGGTGTCACGTGTTGTAATTCCACATGGACTTTCGTCTTACTGAGACTTCCTCACAGCCGCAGCTCAGGACACCCCCTCCTCCGCACCCCGTCGCTGACTGGGCTGGACCGCGTTCGCAGACGGTGGCAAGCAGCCCCAGGTATCACTTTGGAGTTGGCCAAGGAGGCACCTTCTCTGACTTCTGGGATGAATTCCTGCTCCCCAGGGCAGTCATGGCTTCCACTGTGGTCAGCGACCTAGTTTTTGCTTGCTTTGGGCCCTGTTGGCATTTCCTCTTTCCTGAAAGCTCTCTGTAAAACAGAGATGATGATGATGGTGTCAACTCCACGGAGTTAATGTTTGTAAAGTACTTGGAATAGTGCCCAGCAAATAATTAACACCAGGATGCTAACTGTGCAGATGTTTTGTCATATTCTAATATGAGTGTTTTTGTTGCAGGAAGGCATTTCAGAATGTCAAGTCCAGTGTACAACTGGGTGCAGAGGTGAGCTTCCGTCGTTCATGATACGTTATGGGGAATTTTATATTAAATACATTTATCTGGTAGGCAGTTTACCACTGCACCGTGCTTATGTAACTGTACCTCCTGAAGCCACATGGAGTACATCCATTTATCTGAGAAGAGTGTGATGCGGCTTTTTAAACGTGTCAATTTTTCTGTAAGCTTATGAGTCAGCAGTTTTAAGGAATTTGGATCACTAGATTCTTTACTATAAAAGAAATAGCACAAAATAGTTTCATTTTAAATGGTTAAGAAATTTCATTTTTATTGATTAAAAACATTTACAGGGCATAAAAATACATTCAAATATTTGGATATTTTAAATATTTTTTCATTACTTTATAGGCTTTATATGAAAGTATTATAAATTCAAAGCAGTATTATACTTGCTAGTAATTACCAGTATGTTGATTTTAATGCACCTTTCATCAGAATTTCTGGGACACTTCCCAATGAGACATTACTAAGATTCTAGAAAAATAAGAGATAACAATAGTCCTCTAAATAAGAGCAATTTTGTGGGAAAGAAGTAGCAACAACTCCAAAGAATGTAAAACCAAACCACAGTGTATGTTTAAGTTAAAAATGTTTTAAATTTATTTTTTTTTAATTTTTTTTTTTGACAGGCAGAGTGAACAGTGAGAGATAGAGACAGAGAGAAAGGTTTTCCTTTGCCATTGGTTCACCCTCCAATGGCCGCCGCGGCCAGCGCGCTGTGGCCAGCGCACCGCACTGATCTGATGGCAAGAGCCAGGTGCTTCTCCTGGTCTCCCATGGGTGCAGGGCCCAAGCACTTGGGCCATCCTCCACTGCACTCCCTGGCCACAGCAGAGAGCTGGCCTGGAAGAGGGGCAACCGGGACAGAATCTGGCGCCCCAACCGGGACTAGAACCCGTGTGCTGGTGCCGCAAGGCGGAGAATTAGCCTAGTGAGCCACGGCACCGGCTCAAAAAATGTTTTAAATTTAAATGATCCTTAAGATTCCATTAAAAAACATACAGACCATATTTGAAAGGTATATCTTAAATATCTAAAATAAATCATTTTTCCTTAACTCTCCCTCCCTGTCACACAAACTCCAGTGAAATGAACACCGTACACGCGGGGGCCAGGTGCTCTCCATGCAACAGGCTTGGTGCGCCACACTGCCTGGGCGTGCAGCGCTCAGGGTAGAAACCTGTGGGTCGCAGCCTCCTTGTGTGATGTGCACCTCTGTGGAGAATGTTCTGTAGGAACATCTCTGTCATGTCAGAGACCTTTTCCTGGCCCAGCCAAAGCAGTCATACTCATTCTAGAATAGTTGGGAAATACAGAAAATAAAAACACCTGTTAATGTCGCACATGGAGACAGCTATTGGCAATGTGCTGATGTGCTTACCCATACGTTCAAAAGCATAAACAGGGGCCGGCACTGTGGCATAGTGAGTAAAGCTGCCGCCTGCAATGGTGGCATCCAATATGGCGCTGGTTCAAGTCCTGGCTGCTTCACTTCCAATCCAGCTCTCTGCTATGACCTGGGAAAGCAGTAGAAAATGGCCCAAGTCCTTGGGCCCCTGTACCCACGTGTGTGGGAGACCCTGAGGACGCTCCTGGCTCCAGATCCGTGCAGCTCCAGCCATTGCAGCCAATTGAGGAGTGACCCAGTGGATGGAAGACCTCTCTCTCTCTCTGCCTCTCCTCCTCTCTGTGTCTAACTATGACTTTCAAATGAATAAATAAATCTTTAAAAACCAAAAAAAAAAAAAGTATACCTGCCAAACTGTGGGTATGTTTGCAGAATTTGATACTCTCTCTAGTTTCTTCAATGACTAAAATGGTGTCAAGCTGCTTTCCTTTCCCCTTAAATATTCTTTGTAAGAATTCACAATTTTAATTGCTAAAAAAGGAAATCTTTCATAAAATGTATATAACACAGGTAAAATAATTAAAAGTTATAATTTTATAGCTTTTACAGTTTTATTGTATGTATTTATAAACTGTTTTGTGTAAAACTGTTAAAAGCCATAAAATTAAAAACATATACCACATTTTTGACATCTGACACTTCTTGGCACATAATCCAAGCAGTAAGAGTTTCATCACAGGGATACTACACCTGGTGTAACAGCCTCCATTCCCCAGGGTCCATTTGCAGGCAACAGATTCCTGTTCGGTCACACATGCATGACTGAAGGTCTGTTTGTGAAGTTCACTTGCTGCACTCCCACCAGTTGCAGAACAGAGTTTATGGGCTTGTGATCCAGCCTGTTTCTATCCAGGTGCATGAAATGGATGTTGTTACCTGCAAGAGGAATTGAAGGCTCAGGTGTGCATGTTAACCATCATTTATTCAGTTTATTGCTTACTAGAATCAAGGAAGCTTTTCAACTTTTAACTAGTCCAAAGGGAAAAATTAATTACCTGGAGCATATTACATTCTCTATATAATGCCATAATAATTTTTAATTATGGTAATAAACTATGACAAGGATTATTGGTTAAATAAGAGCAATATTTAATGCTTTATGAGATCTGAGAGGAAAGACTGTTAAATTATAACCTTCTGTTAGAGTTTATTAAATATAATTAAATAAAATGTCCTGTCAGGCAAGCAGAATATGGAACTGACATAAACATCAAGCCAGAGAATCATATTCATAAATATATATATAATAACAAATAACTCACTTCAAAAAAGTCATTCCCAAATACTGATGTAATTAGGCCCTCAGTATTATAACCACGAGCCCAAAGAGGCTCAAAAATAAGGCTTTATGATAATCAGTTATAATACACTTAGTAATCTACAATCCTTATCTGCTCAAATCAAAAAAGTCAACATTGATAAACCCAAGTTCCATGGACTCTGATTCCTGGGACTCAGCCAGAATTTTGATTTCAGACAGAAGGTAGAAGCATGGATCACGTTTTCTGCATGCACTCACCTACCTTCTATGACAATCACTAGGGTGAGTATCAAAGTGGCTCATTACCAAACAGGGCGAATGCAATAGTACATTAACCATGGCAGGTGCTATCAGTAAGTACACCCGGCTCCCCTCCTCAGAAGGCTGCATTTCTTCCAGTGGGCAGCATCAGGACGTTCTCCTTACTAAGTGGTTTCCCACATTGGCACACGCGCTCCACACCCCGAGCAGAAGCTATGGTCAAATGATTCAGAGATATGGAGTTGAGGGACTCAAAAAATAACCCCTTCCAGCCTGGAGATGGAAACAAGTCACTCAAAAATGCAGCTCACTGTTGTTCCAGGTTATTTTACAGGACTCAGTCTCAAAACACAGGGCTGCTTCTTAAATGAATCTAACTGGTGTAAATTCATGGCAAAAAGGGAGAGCCAGGTGTCAGTCATAATGTTCTTTTTTTTTTTTTTTTTTTGACAGGCAGAGTGGACAGTGAGAGAGAGACAAAGAGAAAGGTCTTCCTTTCCCATTGGTTCACCCCCCAGTGGCCACTGCGGCTGGTGCACTTCTGCCAGCGCACCGCACTGAATCGAAGCCAGGAGCCAGGTGCTTCTTCTGGTCTCCCACGTGGGTGCAGGACCCAAGCACTTGGGCCATCCTCCACTGCACTCCCGGGCCACAGCAGAGAGCTGGGCTGGAAGAGGGGCAACCGGGACTAGAATCCACAGACGGAGGATTAGCCTATAAAGCCACGGCGCTGGCCAGTCATAATGTTCTAGCTGCAAGAAGCCCTAATGCTTGGTCAAAATCCTCCATCTGAAGCCTTCCTTTTAAATGTTAATTTTGTCAGTTTCCTAAGTGATGATAGGACTGGCACTGTGGCACAGCAGGTTAGGCTGCTGCTTTTACCACCAGCACCCCACTGGAGCCGTAGCTGCTCCACTAATGCATCTAGGAAAGCAGCAAATAACGCCCCAAGGATTGGGCCCCTGCCACCCATGTGAAAGACCAGGATGAGTAAATTTATTTCAAAGTCAGAATGACCAGAGAGAGAGAAGGAGAAAGAGGGATCTTCCATCCGTTGGTTCACTTCCCAAATGGCCATAACGGCCAGGGATGGGCCAGGCTGAAGCCAGGAGCCAGGAGCTTCTTCCAGGTCTCCCACGTCCGTGCAGGGGCCCAAGTACTCGGGCCATGCTCCACTACCTTCCCAGGCGCATTAGTAGGCACCTGGACTGGAAGTGGAACAGCCAGGACTTGAAGCGGCACCCCATATGGGTTGCTGGCATTGTAGACGGCGGCTTAACCCACTGCTCACTCATGCAGAGTTTTAAAGAGGAAGGGCCAAGAGGAATCAGTTTACAAGCGTGAACGAGCGTCCTAGCCCTGTCACGTACACAGGGTATCTGTCCCACACAGCACACCTGAACATGGTGGAGATCTAACTTTAACTCTCCAGTAGAGTGGAGCCAAAGGATCTCTCAGGTGACCCAAACTGGGCGAGAAAGCTGCTCCAAGTCTGTGGCTGCCGAGAACTCTCACCAACTCACTTGCCTCCCGACACCGGGCAAGTCTCAAAGTGTCGTGAAGTGTAACTAACTAGATTCTTTTATTGAAAAAAAAAAAAAAAAAAAAAGTGGAACTGGTGTTGTGGCACAGCAGGTTAAACTGCCCCTGCCACGGGGCTGGTTCAAGTCCTGGCTACTCCAAGTCCAATCCAGCTTTCTGCTAATGTACCTGGGATGTAGCTGCCACCCAGGTGGGAGACCAGGATGGGGCTCCTGGCTCCTGGCTCTTGCCGGGCCCAGACTTGGCTGTTGTGGCATCTGGGGAATGAACCAACAGATGGAAGATATCTCCCTCCTTGCATGTCTCTCATTCTCTCTTGCTGTCACTCTGCCTTCCAAATAAATAAACATTTAAAAAAAAGAAACGTTCACTCCACTGAATTTTACAGGGTGTCACAGCCATGTATGGCTCTCCAGCTCACAGCTTGCTTTCCCGATCCTAAACACCGGTAGGCACTGCAGCAAGGACTGCTGGGTGGTTTCACCGCGGGTCTGGACATCAAAGCACAGTGACTCCTCTGCAGACGCTGCCCCCACCAGAACACGCGGAGGAGCCTTCGTTTACACGGTACTTATGTCATGAACAAAGTGCCAGGGCTCTGGACTTGGGAAAGCCGCAAGTGTGCTGCTGAGCCAGGGCTTTCTCTGCTGCTTACCTGGACCTAAAATGAGGGTCCCGCCTTGCTGAGCTGGGTCGCCTTGAAAATCAAACAGAGGCCCGGTCACTGCCCGCCACAGGCTCCGGAGGCTTCCCGAGAGGAGACTGGACTTTATGTGGGGGCTCCGTCCTGAAACATGGAGAATTTGCTTTAGCTAGCATCACACCTCAGTCCTCTGCAACATCACATCCTCCTGTCCACTGGGTTTCTCTCCCGCCGAAGACTGGTTCCCCGCCTGTCACTACTGATGTTCTGGCTCGGTTCCTTCTTTCCCCTGTGCGATGAGCCTTGTCCTCCACACCTACTAAAGGTAACAACGCAACTGTCTCCAGACAGGGCCCCGTGTCCCCAGGGGAAGGGGACAATGTCCACTGCTTTAAAGGGACACCAGGCCCAGAGCATTTCTGCCTGAGAAAAATGTCACCTGCAGAATTGTCAAATTAGTCGTGCCTTCCGATTCCTCAGGTACATCCTGCTTAGTCTCTTACCTATTGCTGCATCCTTTTAAAATTTCTTTATGTTATTTATTTATTTGAGAGATGGGGAGGGGGGGAAGAGAGGGAGAGGGAGGGAGGGAGGGAGGGAGAGAGAGAGAGAGAGAGAGAAACACTCCTCCATCTGCTGGTTCACTCCCCCAAATGCCTGCGACAGCAGGGGCTGGGCCAGGCTGATGCAGGAGCTGGGTCTCCCACGTGGTGGCAGGGATGAACTACCTGAGCCACCACTGCTGCCTCCCAGGCAGGACTCAGAGGCAGCTATCAAATCCAGGTATCTCAATTGGCAACTTCCTCCCTGGGCCAGAGGCCTGCCCCCGGGATCCGCACCCTTTCCGAGAGATGCCCAGGCCGAGCGCTGACACTGACAGGCTCTCATTCCTCCCTCTGGGCCCACGACGGAGCTGCATTTTCCAGTCTTCCTTGGACAAGGCCACGCCCTCGCCAACGAGCAAAGCACTGTGTGCTGCTTCCTTGCCAGCTCCCAAAAACCTGCCACAAACAGTGCTTGCCATTCCTTCTGTGCTCCTGGACAGCGCTTACAAGATGGAAACGGTCTGGGACTCAGAACTGCTGCTTGGAGCAGAGGCGCCTGCAGTTATTTTAAAGAAAACCCGCTACCTTGTTCCGTCGCAGCTACTACAGTGGCCTCTCTTTCCATGGCGGTCTGTCTTCTATTTCTGCTCTCACCAGACTGATAACCTCATCTCACCTTCCTCTGAGCAGGGAAAGCCTCTCTACCACGCTTTTAACTTACTTTTCTCCAATCTCTGCCTTGTTTGTTTTGCTTTTTTTTTTTTTATTTTATTTTATTTTTTTTTTGACAGGCAGAGTGGACAGTGAGAGAGAGAGACAGAGAGAAAGGTCTTCCTTTTGCCGTTGGTTCACCCTCCAATGGCCGCTGTGGCCAGCGCGCTGCGGCCGGCGCACCGCGCTGATCCGATGGCAGGAGCCAGGAGCCAGGTGCTTTTCCTGGTCTCCCATGGGGTGCAGGGCCCAAGCACCTGGGCCATCCTCCACTGCACTCCCGGGCCACAGCAGAGGGCTGGCCTGGAAGAGGGGCAACCGGGACAGAATCCGGTGCCCCGACCGGGACTAGAACCCCGTGTGCCGGCGCCGCTAGGCGGAGGATTAGCCTAGTGAGCCGCGGCGCCGGCTTGTTTTGCTTTTAAGCTTTTTATTTTTTACACTTTGTATTTCAATGACTACACAGCCTTGGTCCTGCCTGGTCTCCAAATACCCAGTGTTTCTCTCCATCTCTTCTGTTTCTTACTGTTTTTGTTATAATGAATATTCAACTAACCTGGAAAAATAAATATAGGCTCAGCAGCTCGGAAGCACGGGAAAAAGAATAAACTCCAATGTCTTACATGACTCTGAATCTAAAACAAAGGTTCAGAAATCCCCACTCCCTCCCGATGTACAAAGGAAGCATCACTCAATGCTTACGACAGTTTCATCAACTGGAGGAGATGCCTGTCTGAATCTAGACTGGAACCATCTTTGCCATGAAGCATGGACCACTTCTGCCAGTTTGAATTCAGTTCTGAGGTGTAAAACTCCCGTTTTCCAATCCTCTCAAACCTACGACGCTGTTGCATTTAACGACTTTATTTGCTTATTCTTCATTTTTCTACAATGAGTCCAGTAACTTTAAACTCTGATTGTATATTCCCAGAGCCTTAATTTTTCAAGTAGGAGTATTCTGAGACTGATCCTGAGTTTCACATTCCTCAAGGAGGAGTCTTCAAAAACATTATTTCATGTGAACCCATTATATGCTGGTTGGCAATAGAGCTCATTAACACAGATCATAGGAATTTAACAGGTCTGAATGGATCTCCACTTACAATTACAAGCACGTATCTGACTCGGCAGTCATCTGTTTTCTTTGCAGGCCCCTCCCCACCGCGGCAGTGAATGATGGGGTGTTACTGAAGTGAAGCCCCCAGTTTCTACGTATGGTGCTACATGAGAAAAAGTCCTTACACATGCTGAGACAGGTGTAGCACTTAAAAACAGTGTACCAGAAAGGTGCACTATCTGTTCTGTTGTGACTTCCCATACTGAAGAGAGAGAGAGAAAAGATCAGACTTTGCGCTGATGTCAGCTCAGTGCGCATTAACACAGCTACCGCTGCTGGTCTTTAAGGTCAGGGGCAGAGGGCCCAGCGCTTTGGCTTAGTGGGTGAAGCTGCTGCCTGCAATGCCAGCATCCCATATGGGCACCGGTTTGAGTCCCAGCTGCTCCATTTCTGATTCAGCTCTCTGCTATGGCCTGGGAAAGCAGTACAAGATGGCCCAAGGCCTTGGGCCCCTGCACCCATGTGGGAGACCCAGAGGAAGCTCCTGGCTCCTGGCTCCTGGCTTTGGATCGGCTCAGCTCCGGCAGTTGTGGCCAATTGGGGAGTGAACCAGCGGATGGAAGACCTCTCTCTCTCTCTCTCTGCCTCTCCTTCTCTGTGTAACTCTGACTTTCAAATAAATACATAAATCTTTAAGGCAGCAGCAGAGACCACACAGTTCCACTGGGACTAGCTCTCACATCCTCCCCTCCTCACCGTTTCCACCGGAAGTTGGATCACTCCTTTTTAGCTGATTACAACAACCTCGCCACAAACACCACTGGTTCTAATTTGGCAGGTTCCAATTCCTTAGGCACACAGGTCACATGACCTGTCTCCTCTCTCTGCTTCAAATAGTCCTGTGACTCTCCCAGCTGTGTGCGGAGTAAACCTAAACTCCTTGGCATGACACTTGGACTCAGCATCATCAGCTACAACCTGCCCCTTGACTCACCCCAATTCCCCACATGGCTAGAGTTTAATTCTCCAGCCAGAGGCAGGGTCCCACACTTTCCTAAATGTACCTGTTTTCCACCTCTTTGTGCTTCTGCACCCTGGGTACCCTTCCCCACCCTCATGCCTCCGGCTATCTCCCTCAGGGGTGAGCTGAGTGGAGCCTCCCCAGAGCCTTTAAAAAAAATGTAAAAATGACAAAAGTTAATTTTTTCACTCATCCATAAACACTGCAGTATCTCTTAAAACTTTTTCTCTACAGTTTCTCTGTATCTAGATCTTTATGATTTTTTTTCCAGAAATAAAATCATACTGAAACACTGCTCTCCAGCTTGCCTTTTCTCATCCAACAATTCTTTGCCAATAGCCTTTTAAGTCATTACATTCAGAAAATGAATCTCTCAGTCTGGTGTATCTGGACCATTTACAGAACCAGAGAAAGCAGCCTTATTTGTGAATATGCCATTTGCTTCCCTGTATATATCCACACTTACACATAATCTGAAAACATGTTCTACTTGAGACATGTTCTATCTTACCTGAGGAGGCAATTTCTTCACCTCTTTTCATCCCCAGTCTTTTATAAATCTCTCTCTCAGGATCAACATAGATTTCATGAGAATACCCAGTCAGTTTGCAGAAAGGCTAAAGAGAGAAAAGAGTTGGAATTTTTCTAAGAATGAGAGAAACGTAATGATAAGGCAACGAGCTACTTTAATATACTCATTGGTTCAAATAATGTAATTTCTACATCTGAAAGATTCAAGCAGTTTCCCAATCTGCTAGATATTTACCTCAATATGATGGTAGGATGACTGTCCAATCACTATAAGGGTGACATCTGCTTCCTTTAGGGGGAAAAATAAGACATGTACACATTATTAGGAATTGCACGGGTTCTATACAGTTTCTACTAATTCAACTCTTTATTTCATTCTAATGCCATCTATAGGCTTCTGGAAGAATAGAATACACAACAAAATTGTGTGAGTCAAATCAGGTAACTTATGCTGGAATGTTCAATGAAATCAGATCATTGCTTTGCTAACACTTTCAAGGCTTAACATCTAAACTTGAAAACTACTTGAGGAACACGTCAGGGCAATGCTCGCATCCCACAACACTGGTCTGGGCAATGATTTCTTGGATATAACCCCCAAAATGCAGGAAACCAAAGCAAAAATAAACAAAGGATTGCATCAAACTAAAAAGCTCTGCACAGTAAGGGAAAGAGTTAACAAGAGCAAACAGATGACCTAGGACTGTGAGAAACTATTCTGTGAAGTGTACACGTGACAATGCATTGATAGATGGAAACTAAGGACCTGGCGTTGTGGCATCGCTGGTAAAGCTGATGCTGGCATCCCACATGGGGGCTGGTTCGAGTCCTGGTGACTCCACTTCCAATCTAGCTCCCTGCTAATGTGCCTGGGAAAGCAGTGGAAGACGGCCCAAGAGTTTGGGTCCCTACTACCCATGTTGGAGACATGGATGAAGCTCCCAGCTCCTGCCTTTAGCCTGGTCCAGCACTGGTCGTTGAGGCCATCTGGGAAGTGAACAAGCAGACAGAAGATCTCTCTCTCTCTCTCTCTCTCTGTCTCACCCTTTCTCTGTAACGCTTTCAAAAATAAATAAATCAATCTTAAAAAATAATAAAACCACAAGGTATTACCTTACACCTGTTAGAATGGATATTAGTCAAAAAGATAAAGGTTAACAAGCATTGGAAAGGTTCTGGAGAAAGGGAAACTGTGTGTGCTACTGGCTAGCATATATAAATTACTACAGCCATTATGGACAACAGTATGGAGGCTCCTCAAAAAAGTTAAAAATAGAATTACCTATATGAGTCAACAATTCTACCACTGGGAAATAATCCTACCAAAGAAAATAAAATCAGTATGTTAAAAAATGTGCATTCCCATATTCACTGCAGCATTATTCACAACACTTAAGCTATGGAAGCGACCCAAGTCCAGCAATGGGTAAAAAAAAATGTGTATATGACTTAACAGCCGACTTGCTGGTTAGGATGCCTGTGTCCCACACTGCAGAGCCTGGGTTCCATTCCTGGATCCAGCACCTAACTCCAGCTTCCTGCCAATACAGATCCTGGGAGGTAGCAGTGATGCCACAAGGAGTTGGTTCCCTGCCTCCCATGTGGGAGACTGGGACTGAGTTCCTGGATCCTGGCTTCAGCCTCAGCCCAATCCCAGTTGTTGGAGCCATTCAAGGAGTGAAATGAGGGGCCGGCACTGTGGCGTAGCGGGTAAAGCCGCCACCTGCAGTGCTAGCATCCCATATGGGCGCCAGTTCAAGACCAGGCTGCTCCACTTCCACAGCTCTCTGCTGTGGCCTGGGAAAGCAGTAGAATATGGCCCAAGTGCTTGGGCCCCTGCACCCACATGGGAGACCTGGAAGAAGCTCCTGGCTCCTGGCTTCGGATCGGTGCAGTCCAGACGTTGAGGCCATCTGGGGAGTGAACCAGAGGATGTAAGGCCTCTCTCTCTGTCTCTCCATCTCACTGTCTGTAACTACCTCTCAAATAAATAAATAAATAAAATCTTTTAAAAAAAATTACTAAGAGATTACAAATATTTTCATTGCAAAAAATGGGATGTATGTGAAGTGATGGGTAAGTTGGCTGCACTATAAATACATACTAAAGGGCCAGCACTGTGGCACAGTCAGTTAAGCCATGGCCTGTGGTGCCATCGACATGGGCACCAGTTCAAGTCCCAGCTGCTCTGCTTCTGAATCAGCTCCCTGCTGATGTGCTTGGGAAAGCAGCAGAGGATGGCCCAAGTCCTTGGGCCCCTGCACTCATGTGGGAGACCTGGAGGAAGCTCCTGGCTCCTGGCTTCAGCCTGGCCCAGCCAGGGTTACTGCAGCCATTTAGAGAGTGAACCAGGGCATGGAAGATCTGTTTCTCCTTCTTTCTCTGTAACTCCTTCAAATAAACAAATTTTTAAAACACACAAAGGAATATTCTATTTTAAATATATGTATATGTATTAAACTGTGGCCAGCACTGTGGTACAGTGGGTAAAGCTGCTGCCTGCAAGGCCAGCACCTGTATCCCATATGGGCCCTGGTTTGTGTCCTGGCTGCTCCACTTTGGATCCAGCTCCCTGATGATGGCCTGGGAAAAGCAAAGGAGGATGGTCCAAGGGCCCCTGCCACCTGGGTAGGAGACCTGGAAGATGCTCCTAGCTTCACCCTGGCCCAGTGCTGGCCTCTGTGGCCATTTGGGGAGTGAACCAGTGAATGGAAGCTCACTCTCTCTGTAACTCTTTCAAGTAAGTAAGTAAATCTTTTTTTTTTTCATTTATTTATTTGAGAGATAGAATTACAGTTAGAGAGAGACAGAAGGAAAGGTCTTCTATCTGCTGATTCACTCCCCAAATGGCTGCAAAGGACAGAGCTGAGCCGATCCAAAGCCAAGAGCTTCTTCTGGGTTTCCCATGCGGGTGTAGGAGGCCAAGCACTTGGGCCATCTTCTACTGCTTTCCCAGGCCATAGCAGAGAGCTGGATCTGAAGAGGAGCAGCTGGGACTAGAATAGGTGCCCATATGGGATTATTCTACTGCACCACAGCACCAGCCCCATTAGTAAATCCTGAAAAAAAAAAATGTACCAAACTATTACCCCATTAATAGACATGATTATTGCCAATTTAAAAATGATAAAAGGGGGCTGATGCTTGCATTCCATATGGGCTCTGGTCTGAGTCCCAGCTGCTCCACTTCTGATCCAGCTCCTGGCTAATGTGCCTGGGAAAGCAGCAGAGGCTGGCCCAAGTGCTTGGGCCCCTGCACCAATGTGAGAGACCCTAAAGAAGCTCCTGGTTCCTGGCTTTGGTCTAGCCCAGCTCTGGTCATTGTGGCCAGCTCATAAGTGAACCAGTGGATGGAAGATCTCTCCCTCTCTCTCTAAACTCTGCCTTTCAAATAAATAACTATTTTTAAAAGTACAAAAAAATTGTAAAAGGACATGCAGAAGAATTTTTAACAATCAAATAGACATAATCAATAAATCTCTATACTCCTCCCAGAGAAATACAACAAAAAGTAAGAACTGTAAATGTTGAGTAACTTAATCACACAAAATGTCATATTCTCACATTCCAACTGACAAGGCTGGTTGAAAATAGATCATGGGGCCGGTACTGTGGCGCACTGAGTTAAAGCTGCGGCCTGAAGTGCTGGCATCCCATATGGGCCCTGGTTCTAGTCGTGGTTGCTCCACTTCCGATCTAGCTCTCTGCTGTGGCCTGGGAAGGCAGTAGAAGATGGCCCAAGTCCTTGGGCCCCTGCATCCCCCGTGGAAGACCGGAAAGAAGCTCCTGGCTCCTGATGCAGCCATCTGGGGAGTGAACCAGCGGATGGAAGAACTCTCCACCTCTCTCCCTCTCTCTGCCTCTCCTCTGTGTAACTCTTTCAAATCAATAAAATAAATCTTAAAAAAGAAAATAGCTCATACTGCCCAATGCCATTGCTCAGAGAGCTTGCAGGGCCACAAACCTGCTTAAGCTAAAAGAAAAGCACATGGTGGCACTGGTAGGATGCAGAACTCGCATTTTATCAGAAACACCAATTTTGCAGCTGTGATATATGTTACAACGAGCAGCTGTCTGGAGTGTCACCAGCACTGAGAGAAGACATCACGGACTTGGGGCGTCTGCTTTCGGAGCATTTTCATTCCACATCTGAGGGCACTACTGCGGTGAATACGTGTCCGAGGTGGCGTCGGGGCACACAGGAGACAGACCCCATCGGCAACGTGCCCCCAGCTCCGAGGGGCCGGGGCGAGCAGGCGTCACCCACGCCCAGGACACTCACCCGTAAGAAACTCTGGGGGACTTTGGCCAGATCCTCGACGTATTCCTTGCAGACGTAGCACAGGAAATGCTGGAACGAACAATGCCAATGCCGAGAGCGAGTCCGCGCCGACGCCAGGGGAGCAGACAGGGAAAGGCGTCAGGGGGCTTTCCTTCCCCGGGCGCCCTCCGCCCAGCCCCCGGCGCTGTGAGGACGCGGCCTCGGCCCCAGGCTTTGCCCCGCGCAGTGAGGACGCGGCCTCGGCCCGGGCAGTGCCCCGCCGCCCTGCACTGTGAGGACGCGGACGCGGCCTCGGCCCGGGCAGTGCCCCGCCGCCCCGCGCTGTGAGGACGCGGACGCGGCCTCGGCCCGGGCAGTGCCCCGCCGCCCCGCGCTGTGAGGACGCGGCCTCGGCCAGGGCAGTGCCCCGCCGCCCTGCACTGTGAGGACGCGGACGCGGCCTCGGCCCGGGCAGTGCCCCGCCGCCCCGCGCTGTGAGGACGCGGCCTCGCCGGGACGGCCGGGGTCCCGTTCCCACACGAGTGCCCGCTCCCCGGGCGCTACAACGGAAAGGGCCAGGCCCGGGCGACGCCCGTTCTCGGGCCGCCAGCCCAGGAGGCTCCCAAGGTCCGCGTCGAGGTCGCCTCAGCCCCCCGCGCTCACCCGCACGAAGACCACCACGGCCCGCCGGTCCCGGAACAGGGAGCCGAACGGCACCAGCCTCCCGCGCGCGTCCAGCACTGGCAGCTCCGCCACGGCGGCCGCCAGAGGCTGCCCGCGCTCGGGACCGGTCGGGACCGGGGCCAGGGCTGCGCCGCCGAGGACCTGCCGCGTGACCGGGGCGGGGGCGGCCATAGCCAGCGGACTTTGAGGACCAGGGAGCAGTCCACTCCCGGGCGGGGCACGGCGGCGCGGGCGGCGGTGTGGGCGTGGCGCGGCGGTGTGGGCGGTAACGACTGGGCGTGGCGCGGCGGCGTGGGCGGGCCCTGGGCGGGCCCTGGGCGGGGCGAGTGCGTCGCTGCCTGGAGGAGAGTTTGTGCATATTTACTGACTGGGGTGGGAAGAGAGCGAGGGGTGGGTTTGCTAAGGGTGAGACCCGAGTTCCAGAGCAGGAACGCAGCCCGCGCGTCCTCGTTATCGGTGGCGTCTGTTCAGAGGGCCCAGTTGGGGAGCGAGTGGGAAGGAGTTTTTCTATTCTGTGTTTAGGGCACCCTCAGTTCTGAAGCCTTTTTTTTTTTTTTTTTTAGCATAGAGGTCTTACCTGCAGAGTTCAGTTAGATTTTCCCAACATTTCATTATGAACATTTTTAAGATATCTAAGGAGTCTGGAAACATTGGCGTGGACATTGCTTATCAAGCACCCAGAGTGCAGGCACTGGAAAATTTAGGAATTTCTGTAGCTTTTTCTTTCTCACACTGTACGATAGGTTGTAGTTTTTAAGAAATCAACAAAGCATCTGTTTTCCTATAGTACACTATGAAAGTATTAGAATGTACTCATTGTTCAACATGTAATTTTTTTCAGAGACAGCGAATAAAAAAATAGGGGGGTGGGGCTCTTTCAGACTCAGTGCTGGGAATTGGTCTGTATCCAAAAGGCCTTTGTGAGCCGTGCCTGGGGATTCCTGTGGGCGGTGAGCTCTTGTTCAGAGTCTCTGGGGCAGGACCAGCTAGGGTAGCTTCTTTGCCCACCGAATCTCGCTCTCTCTTGCATCTGGGTTGGGATGTAGAAGGCACCACACTCTACCGAAGGCATCTGCTGGTGGCAGCCCCTCACGGGGCTCCGTGCAGGCTGGGTTTGAGGCCAATGTCACTGCCCACCAAGGGTGGGGGGACATGTGCTTATTCATTAAGAGCTCCCAGTAGGAGAAGCCATGCAGCAGGGTTAGAAATGTTAGATAGATCTTGCAAATAAAGATACAGAACAAGATATCCCCTAGGCACCCTAAGCCGCTACAGTGAACACTTGAAGATGCAGCGGGTTGTTTGAAGAACTTGAGAAAAACATAGAGTTTTTCTGTCGAATTTTGTGTATAACACTCGAATAGGTTTCCTAGTATCCGTGTTAGACCTCACACATTCCTCTGGATGATGTCATATCTTTACAAATCTCAGTTTCAACAGTTGATAACAATCTAGAGCCACGCGCAAAAAAAAAAAAAAAAAAAAAAAAAAAAGTGTGAAACAGGAAATGAGGGTAGCTGTGTCCAAACTGATTCTGAGGTTTGAGTTTTACAGTGTTGGGAATGAAATAAAAGTCGTAGTTTTTATCTACTTTTTTTTATTTATTTTTTTAAATTTTTTGACAGGCAGAGTGGACAGTGAGAGAGAGAGACAGAGAGAAAGGTCTTCCTTTGCCGTTGGTTCACCCTCCAATGGCCGCCGCGGCCAGCGCGCTGCGGCCGGCGCACCGCGCTGATCCCATGGCAGGAGCCAGGAGCCAGGTGCTTTTCCTGGTCTCCCATGGGGTGCAGGGCCCAAGCACCTGGGCCATCCTCCACTGCACTCCCTGGCCACAGCAGAGAGCTGGCCTGGAAGAGGGGCAACCGGGACAGAATCTGGCGCCCCGACCGGGACTAGAACCTGGTGTGCCGGCGCCGCTAGGCGGAGGATTAGCCTAGTGAGCCGCGGCGCCAGCCTACTGGTGTTATATTTTTAAGTGGGTATTAAGTTGGAATATAAATATGCATTGTTTGGACCTGACTTGTTTCGTTTTTTAAAAGATTTATTTATTTATTTGAAAGGCAAAGTTACAGAGAGAGAGGGAGAGACACACAGATCCTCTGTCCACTGTTTCATTCCCCAAGTGCTGCAACGGCCAGGCCAAAGTCAGGAGCCTAGGACTCCAACCAGGTCTCCCTTGTAGGTGTCAGAGACCCAAGCACTTGCCCAGGTGCATTAGCAGGGAGCTGGATCTGAAGTGGAGCTGCCTGAATATGAACCTGTGGGCAGCACAGGCTGGGGCTTAATGGCTTAACCCTTTGTGGCTGTGCCACGATGCTGGCCCCAGATCTTTTTTTTTTTTTTTTTTAAGATTTAATTGAAAGGTAGAATTACAAGGGAAGGTGAAAAGGAGACATAAAGAGAGAGCTACTGGTTCACTCCCCAAATGGCTGCAACGGCTAAGCCTGGGCCAGGCTGAAGTCAGGAGCCAGGAGCTTCTTCTGGGTCTCCCATAGGTGTGCAGGGGCCCAAGCACTTGGGCCATCCTCTACTGCTTTCCTAGGCACATGAGGAGGAAGCTGGAGTGGAAGTGGAGCAGCCGGGACTGGAACAGCCGCTCATATGGGACGCCAGTGTCGCAGGTGGCAGCTTTACCCGCTAAGCCACAATACCACCCCCAGACCTGACTTTTTAATGAAGGCAATTATCAGGTGTTTCTTTTGGCCTCAATGTACTGAGACACGAAGGAGCACACAGGCCAAGACCATTTGGGACCCTCTGAATCGGATAGCAAACTCCTTGCCTTCTGTGGCACTATAGAATCTTCACGGCCTATTATAAAGCTGGACACACTGTGGACCTCTGTGAATAGTGTTTGATTGATGAATGCATGAAATAGATGCCCAGACAGCTCTGGCCAGCGGTGTGCATGGAGTATGCACGAAAGCAGGGGGTCGCAGGGCTTCCACACCACTGCTGTCTCCTCCCGGCCAGGCAGAGCCCTAAAAGCCTTCTTGTGCTTCCTAGCCCCAGCCAGCCTCTCCAGCAGAGCCTGGAGCATGGAAAGTGTCAAATGAGACGTTTGTTGCTTTTAGGGTTTTCTTTTGCACTTTTTTTTTTTTTAAAGATTTATTTATCTATCTGGAAGGCAGAGTTACAGAGAGACAGAGTTAGAGAGCGAGAGAGAGAGAGAGAGAGGTCTTCCATCTGCTGGTTCACTCCCCCAAATGACCACAATGGCCAGAGCTGTGCCAGTCTGAAGCCAGGAGCTTCTTCTGGGTCTCCTACACAGGTGCAGGGGCTCAAGGACTTGGGCCATCTTCTACTGCTTTCCCAGGCCATAGCAGAGAGCTGGATTGGAAGTGGAGCAGCCGGGACACAAACTGGTGTCCATACAGGATGCGGGCACTGCAGACGGCTACTTTCCTCATTACAGCACAGCGCCGGCCCCTCTTTTGCACTTCTCCCTCCATGTCACCGCTGTGTTTCTGGCTGGTCAGTATCAGCTGAACACCAGGCCTAGTCCTGCACTGCACCTGACTGAAAACAGAGCACTACAGGTTATTCCTCTCTGCTGCTGTCACTAATGAGCCGTGGTTTTCCAAAAACAAATAATATAGCTCCCAGTTGGTTAATTCAGAAGAGAGTAACTTAGGTTGGAGGGATAATCAATGCAAAATATACCCTTTCAGTATTTTAGATAGAGCTCTGCACAGAGAAAGGCAGAAGCCAAGGGTTTCATTGTGCCCTGTTTGGGTTTGGCTATTTCATTCTGGTTACTCAAACGTATTTGTTTTCCACAGTATTGCTCGCGGTGTGTTGTTTCCTTTACCCTCTAAGCTTCGTAAGGTTATGAACCGTTTCGTGGAAGTCACTCAGGGGCAACAGGCTGAATCACTTGCACAGTCAACAGATATTTTTATCTATTAGAGAGAGGGAGGGAGGGAGGGAGGGAGAAAAAGCGAGGGAGTTCCTCCATCTGCTGGTTTGCTCCCCAAATTCCCACCACAGCCAAGGCTCAAGCCAGGTGTCCCACATAGCTGGCAGGAATCCAATGACTTGAGAGACCTCCCAGGGTCCTCATTAGCAGGAAGCTGGGTACACAACCCAGGCATTTTTTTAAAAGAGTTACAGAGAGAGAGAGAGAGAGAGAGAGAGATCTTCCATCTGCTGGTGCATGCCCCAGATGGTCGCAATGGCCGGAGCTGTGCCGATCCGAAGCCAGGAGCCAGGAGCCTCTTCTGGGTCTCCCACATGGGTGCAGGGGCCCAAGGACTTGGGCGTCTTCTACTGCTTTCCCAGGCCACAGCAGGGAGCTGGATCAGAAGAAGAGCAGCCAGGACTAGAACCAGTGCCCATATGGGATGCCGGCGCTTCAGGGCAGGGCGTTAACCTGCTGCGCCACAGTGCAGGCTCCCAACCCAGGCGTTCTGATATGGGATGCAGGCATTGCAATTGGTAGCTTAACCACTAGGATGAATGCCTGCCCCTAGAGTCAACAAACATTTACTTAGCAACGGTCCTTGTTTCAGACGTTGTGTTGGAAACTAGGAAGATTAAGGGAACTAAGAAAAGTCTAAGGACAGGAACTTGTAGTGTAGCTGGGGACAGAGTGTGGAATAAATAATTGTGAAGAGCAATAAAGATAGCAGTATGAATCAGGCCTGCTCTGGAAAAATCTGATCAGGTGATTCCTTTGAATTCAAGTAACAGGAAATCTTGACCCAAATGGTCCTGCGTGATAAGGATATTTATTGTCAACATAACAGGAAACTCAGAGACAGTGGATTCTAAGTGCGGCATCATCAGGGCTACTGTCCTCAGCTGTCCTATTTGCTCTGCCTGCTTTGGTGCTGGCTCCAGCAGCACTGAGCGGAATTTCCTGCTTTGGATAAAGTGTCAAACACCTTCACCCTCCGGAGCCCCAGGTAAAACTCTTCCCTGTCGTCCAGATTGGCTGGGCCAATCTCCCTCAAAGGAATGAAGTACCCATGATACATTTAAACTGATTTTGTTAAGTGTGCCTGCTGAGAAATAAACCAGAACACCCACGTGAGGAGTGATCGATTTCCCAAAGAACACAAATGAAATAAAGACGCGGAGTAATCAGAGAGGAGCTCGGCAAGTGGATGATTAACTGGTGGTCGTAAGGTCATGATGCATGGAGTCATCTTCCAGGGTAAGTGGTCCTTCCTCCCTTGCCCCACACTGAGCTGTGCCCTGTGGGGGGTGGGGTGGGGTGGGGGCTGCAGTAGCCATGTGT